GGATAAACACAACAACTACAACTCAAAACAACAGCACTCCCATTAGGAAGACATTAGAGTAAAGTTTTGCCAGCAGTGTTTCTCTGCACACTTATTTTAGAGAAGGAATTCAGACATCCCAAAGGGGCTTTTTCAAGAGGCAACTGGACTTCCTTTGATTTTCCTTGAAGACATTTCGCTTCTCATCCAAGAAGCTTCTTCAGTTAACTCAGAACTGAGGAAGCTTCTTGGATGAGAAGCGAAACGTCTTCAAGGAAAAGCAAAGGAAGTCCAGTTGCCTCTTAAAAAAGCACCTTTGTGTTAATATACACCATCTTGGCACTAACTAGTGGAAAGCCAGTAATGAAAGTTTCCCGGCAACTCATTAAAAAGTTTCTTTGCAACTCATTAAATCACCCCTTTTTTTTTTTTTTTTACTGCTGCTTTGAAGAACCTAATCTTTGTTTTGGTTCCAACTGAATCTCCTCCAGCAGGTCAATTTGCTTCGCCTTTATATTGAGAGCCAAGAGGTTTCTACTGAATGATTTTTGAAGCATGCACCACACTATTAAGTAATGCAAAATGTAAAGATAATGAGGTCTTTTTTAAAAAAAAAAAAATAAAGAATATGTTTTGAGATCAGTCATAAAGCTTTAAGAGTAATTTCAGTCTGTGCTTATTAAATAATAATAATAGCTATGATACAGACAGCACCTTTGATGATTAAAGTTGACATTTAACTATTAAGAGTGCCATCAACCGGATGTGTTCCAATTCATCAGTTCAGATGCTTACTGGAATGTCACATCCTGAAGGCCAGAAGCCATGGTGGAGGTCATAGGGTTGATGCCTTGCAAGCACATACTTTCAAAATTGGTAAACTCCAAGGAAATTCTTGTTTTCTTCGGCAGTCAGGTTTAATTCGCTGCTTTGCCCAAAATAGGCCTCCCATGGGTGAGGCCACATCTGATGAAAGAAAAGGTGTAAAAAGGCCCTGGAAAGTGATGACAGAAAACTGGTCTTGTGGTTTTTAATTGCTTTAATGGTGTAGAGTTGGTGTAGTAGCAAGATTGAACACAAAAATAAAAATGAAAAATAAGCTGGCAATAAAAAAAATGAAGCAGGGTCAGAAGTGGCTGTATTGGGATGGGGCACCAATAGGAAAGTCTAGGGTTTTCCTGATGGAACAGTTAATCCGTGGAAGAATGGCTTGACTCCAGTTGTGGATGCTCCATCACTGGAGGTTTTTAAGAAGAGATTGGACAACCATTTTTTTCTGAATTGGCATAGGGTCTCCTGATAAAGCCGAAGGCTGGACTAGAAGACCTCCAAGGTCCCTTCCAACTCTGTTATTCTGATCTAATGGAGCCTAAGCTGAGTTTCCACTGGAAACTCAAAAGCATCCTAAACTCAAGCCACAGAAAACCACTTCTAACGTGGCCAGGATTAGTGTACAAACCCGTGCCCATTTTATTTATTTATTTGGTAATAAACTCCTAGTTCCTAGTCCTGCAATTCACGAAAACTATCTAAAATGGGAGATGGATGCATGTTAGGAATATGCTGTGCATTCAGATTCAAAGCAAGGTGATGTTTTCAAAGCAAGCCAACTTCATACCTCAACATAGCCCAAACCACGTCTTTGCTTTCAAATCTAAATAATCACACAGCCCTTCATCAGCGTATTCAGGATCATGTGTGGCCCTGTGGAAGAGAAACCAACTCTATAATGTCGCAGGCTTACTTCCAAAGTCGGAGAGATAAACCATTAGTCCGGGTCTCTGCGCTTTTCCATTTAAAACCACAAGCAATTCAATCCAGTGAGCCTCAATCCAGTGAGAATGTGCCATTGTTCAGGAACCCTGACGAATGTCAATTGGCCCACCAAAATGCTAGACAAGCCAAAAACTAAATATTAGCTCTGGCTGGAATATGCACACACACACACACAAAACCACAAATGCTCAAGAAATCACAGGGACGTAGATGCCAATGCTCACTAGATAGAGAAGCAGAAATATAGAGAATTTAAACTTTCAAAGCTGCAGGAAGGGGGTCAGCATTGTTGAATGTTCCCATCTGATAAATGTATCTTTTCTTTTTATGTATGCTGAGAGCATATGCACCAAGACAAATTCCTTGTGCGCCTAATCACACTTGGCCAATAAAGAATTCATGTGTTCATTCATTCTGTCAACTCACAACATATTTCTATGGTCTTTTTAGAGTTGCCAACAGAAAGGGAGGGGGAGCAGTGCGGCAGTTGGAAATCGAAAGTACATTCCATAAATGTTTTCAAAGATAGTAACTAGGTGACCGAAGTTTCTGCCATGCAAAATTCTAACTGGAGAGCCTGATTGATGACTCTGGGCTATGGATGTGTCCCATTGGAGAATATGAATTACGATACACCCAGGGGATGGGGCAAAACCAGAGCCAAGGGTGACAATGAATGATGTGCGTCAGAGTCAGCTACACCCAGGCAGTGCCGGATATGTTTACTCCCAATAAATCCTTTTTGAAGTTTTGGAAGTTTGGCTCCAGACTCATGATTTAAACGAGGGTAACTTCCGGAATTCTGACACATGCATTCATTCATCTGTGTGGCCGTTGCAAGTGGTAAATTAGCATGATAAGGGAAGGTTTGAAGTGGATGTTTCCTCTTTGAGATGATGGGTTTTTTTAAAAAAAAAAAAAAATAGATTATTTGCAGGGATTGTTTTGATTTCACATCAGATGTTTTAGAAATGTCTCTTGCCTTGCTTGCTCTATCGAACTGTTTTGATCCAGCCCCATCCTTCTTTCAGCGAGACAGTCTTCTGCGCCAAAGTAGCAGATGATGGTATAAAGCAGGGCTGTCAAACTCACGGCCTGTGGGCTGGATGCATCCTGCGCTGGCCATGCCCAGTTTAGAAAAGGGGGTGGGAAAAGTCCCAATACGTCACATGATGCTGCCGTGATGATGCGAGTTTGACCTTCCTGGTGTCAAGCAAGGATGTCCAACCTTGGCAACTTTAATACTTGGGGACTTCAACTCCCAGAATTCCCCAGCCAGCAGGCGTGCTAGCTGGGGAATTCTGGGTGTTGAAGTCCACAGGTCTTAAAGTTGCCAAAGTTGGACACACCTGGTGTGAAACTATAGCCATTTGTTATTCTTTTTTTTAAATTACATTTTTAAAAAAAATGAAATGTGATCATTGTTGTTTCTTTTTCGTGTCTAAGTAGGCAAAAATGCAGACATGCCTGAAATTTCAGGAACAAGGAAACCCATTATTGTATCGGCTTGTTCTTTCAAGTCTCTGGTCTGAATGGAAACGCTTAAACTGCAAGAAGCATTCACACCTATGCAGCAGGATGAAGCAGTTTAACCAAAGTCCATCAAGCGTGTTTTTGAGATGCCAATTAAGTTACAAAAAAAGAGTTGGCATCTACATCACCCAGAATGAATGAATGCACCTTAATCTTCCAGTTACAACGCCGCCATAACTGGTTAGACCTAATTAGGAAAGCCAGGTCTGTCTCCAAGATGGCAGGTGGGAAATATCTACAGCAGGACTTAGGCTGGGCTACATATTACACCGATAACCAGTTGGATCGGTGAAGATTTGTTTACTGTTTTTAAATTGAGCACTATGATTCACTTAACAACTATGGGAAGACAAATGGTAAAACGGAGCAGAATTCACTTAACCAAATGTCTCTATTTCTATGGTAGAAATAAGCAAATAATAGTTATAATCTGGATGTATAACACAATGTAGAGATTAGACTGTGTGATAGTTTTAACTAGGATGTATAATATGATGAGGAGGAAAAAGGGATTTGATATAACCAGTACACAATGACGTTGTATAATTGGAACTGTTATGTACATTAAGGAAAAATGCACAATAAAAATATTTTTAAAAAGAAAAGACTGAGGCAGCATATACCCATATACCATGGGTATAAAGAAAAGCTATAAATGTAATGCAGCACTAGTTCTTCGCCAGGGAAGAATGTAAGCAATAATTTTGTAGCCTTGGAATATTTCTGACTGATGAAAACCCATAAGGGATGAATGGCGGTGTACTTAAGCAAATTTGGCATAAAAAAATTAAGTTTGCTTGAGATGGAATTCTAAACTCATCAGCCTTTTAGGGTAGGGTAGGGTAGGGTAGGGTAGAGTAGAATAGAATAGAATAGAATAGAATAGAATAGAATAGAATAGAATAGAATAGAATAGAATAGAATAGAATAGAATAGAATTCTTTATTGGCCAAGTGTGATTGGACGCATAAGGAATTTGTCTTGATGCGAATGCTCTCGCTGTACATAAAAGAAAATATACATTCGTCAAGAGTCAAGAATGAGAAGGTCTAACACTTAATGATAGTCATAGGGTACAATAAATAATCAAATCATACTAGAAAACAGTCAATATAAATCATAAGGATACAAGCGACAAAGTTACAGTCATACAGTCACAAGTGGGAGGGGATGGGCGATAAGGAGTGATGAGAAGGTTAATAGTAATAGTAGTGCAGACTTTGTAAATAGTTGGACAGCATTGAGGGGATTATTTGTTTAGCAGAGTGATGGCTTTCGGGGAAAAACTCCTCTTGTGTCTAGTTGTTCTGGTGTGCAGTGCTCTATATAGCATCGTTTTGAGGGTGGGAGTTGAAACAGTTTATGTCTGGGATGTGAAGGGTTTGTAGATATTTTCACAGCCCTCTTTTTGACTGGTGCAGCTTACAGGTTCTCCATGGAAGGCAGTTGGTAGTAATTGTTTTTTCTGTGGTCCTAATTACTCTCTAAGTCTGTGTCTGTCTTGTTGGGTTGCAGAACCAAACCAGGCAGTTATAGAGGTGCAGATGACAGACTCACTCATTCAAAAAATATTTATACAGAATTTATTTATCTACCTACAGCAACAATTGAGCCCCAGATTTCCATTGCTAAGCAAAATGGTTGTTAAGTGAGTTTTGTCCCCATTTTACAACCTTTGTCCTCACTGTTGTTACGTGAATCACTCTAGTTGCTAAGTTAGCAACATGGCTGTTCAGTCTGGCTGTCCTTCTCAGAAGGTCCCCAAAAGGGGGAGGGGCACATGACCTCAGGACCCTGCCACTGTCGTAAATACATGCCAGTGGTCAAGCATCCAAATTTTGATCACATGACCATGTGTCAGGGTTCCGACGATTGCCCTAATTCAGTCACGAGCCTCAAGCCAAGTTTCAAAAGAATTCAAAAGATTTATTAGGAGCAACATGTCCAGCACTAATGTAATTTACCTATGACCCTGTTGCCCCCCATCCTCCTGGCTGTGTCATATATCAGATTCTCCAACATGGGCTGGGTGTCATCAATCACATTCTCCCATGAAAGATTTTCACAGGCAGAAGATCTAGTAGCCTAAGCTACAATCTCCACAAGATAAGTGTGGAATGTGCTTCTGGCCTTCATCTGCCACACTGCTCCCTCAGGCCTTTCCCCCCCTCCTTCTTATGGCAACTCGGAAACAGGCATAGGGATGATTTACGAGTTGACACCATGGGAATGTGGCAAGTCTTAAATGTAGAAAAACAGCACTGCAACTGGAACAGCTGTCGGGAGAGTCTACCTGTACAGAATAACCAAGTTGGATGGGACCTTGGAGATTACCTGTTTCTCAATCAATTATTCTGTTTTATGGATTTAGGAAAATGGAACGGTCAAGAAGATCATCAGCCAGATGACACAAGATCTTCTGATGGCACTCGCTGCCCGCAATCAGTACCAAGAGATCCGGGAAAAGTTTCGCCAACCGGTGACCGACAAAGGGGCCGTCCTCAAAACAAAGCCGCAGGCATCCCAGAAGGACGTTCTGAGCGTATGCTGTGACCCACTGGTCCTTGCACAGCAGCTCACACACATCGAACTGGTGAGTGAGCCCTCCCTTGTCCTCCCTTTGTTTCATGGCCAAATGTTCCGGTTTGAGACCCGCTGTTTCAGAAAGACTACTCCCAAGAGGGGAGGAAGATGATGGGAAAGTACAGACAGCGAACTAAAAGTTTTGTGTAGCTTGTCACTGGCCAGCTTTTCACTGCTCAAATATGTATAAGAATGAAAAAAATGGCTACGCTCATGAAACAAAGAAAAAATGTTAATTTTTAAACAGTGTTTATTTCCAAGTGTACAGGTAGTTGTTTACACTGGGATGAAAACAGTGGTGGGATTCAAATTTTTTTACTACCAGTTCTGTGGGCGTGGCTTGGTGGGCGTGGCAGGGCAAGAATATGGCACGATCCCCATTCCCTCCCCAGCCCACTAACCTGCTTTCCAGCTCCATTCTCCTGTGCAGGGCAACCAAAGAAGACCCAGCCGATCAGCTGGGACTCAATAGGAGGTGGAGAATAGATGGGGTTGGCGGGACCAGTCAGAGGTGGGATTTGCCGGTTCTCCAAACTACCCAAAATTTCCGCTACCGGTTTTGTAGAACCGATCAGAACCGGATGAATCCCACCTCTGGGACATAAAGCATATAACCTCTTAATGTTATATCAGTGCCTTCTTTACACCTCTGGGATCTTGATCATCTTTTCTTGTTTTAGGAGAGGGTAAGCAACATTTATCCAGAAGATCTCATGCAGATAGTCAGTCATGTGGACTCCCTGGATAACCACAAGGTGAGTTTCAAAATTTGGATGAAGTGGAACATGAGAAATAGAAAGATTAACCCACAATCCCTAATAACATCCTGTCTTGACCGTTGCAATGTGCTCTTCCTGGGACTGCTCTTGAAAAGTATCCAGAAGCCTCAATGGATTCAAAATGCAGTGGCTCGTATGTTTTCGGGAAGATCCAGATGTGCAGAGGCATCATCCCTCCTGTGGGAGCTGCATTGGCTTGCCAATCTGCTTCTGGATACTATTCAAGGTGCCGGTTGCCACCTACAAAGCCCTACATGGCATGGGAACAGGTTATCTGAAGGACTGTCCTTTCCTGGTGACATCTACCTGACTCTCCAGAATGGGGAGGCAGGGTAGGTTGTGGGTCCCCCTGTGCTAAGGAGTGGTCCATCTGGTGGGACCCAGAAGAAGGGCCTCCTCCGTGGTGGCTCCCTCCAGTTATCTGAAGGACCTCTTTTCTCAGTTATATCGAACCGACCACCAGAGCAGGGAGAGAGGGAGATATTATAGCCTCATTTGTTAATTGAGTCATTGCAGTCGTTAAGTCAGTAACATGGATGTTAAGTGAATCTGTCTTCCCCATTGACTTTGCTTGTCCGAAGATCACAAAAGGGAATCACGTGACACACACACACACCCCCGGGATACTGCAACTGTCATAAGTACATGCCAGTTGCCAAGTGTTTGAATTTTGGATCACGTGTCCATGGGGATGCTGCAACGATCGCCGTAAGTCTTAAAAACGGTCATAAATCACTTTCCCCCCCCCATGCTGTTGTAACTTCAAACACCATCACTACATGAATGGTTGTAAGTCAAGGACTCCCTATAGATAGGGTACACATTGGGATTGTGAAAATCCTAACACTGCATCACACGCACACTCAGAATCTCCTAAAAAAAGATTGCTACTTGGGAAGACATCCATTTTTATTTTGTTTTATTTTTTTAAAAAAAAACTATACATAAATCTAAGTGGGGTTTACTGATGAGGAAGAGCTGATGACTTTGCTGGAAGCAATGGTGTCCTTATTTTGACTCGGGGGTCTAACAGTGGGTGCTTAATTTTTCAGTGCCGAAGCGATGTTACGAAGACCTACAACCTTGAAGCCTACGACAATTGGTTTAACTGCCTCAGTATGTTGGTGGCGACAGAGATTTGTAAGGTAAGGATCCACAGGTGTTGTGGCCCACTGGTGGCTGATGGAGCTGGCAGCTGAGTCAGACAGTAGTGAGGAGGTTGGGGAGGAACCTTGGCTGGGTCTGGAAGCTGAGGACGGCTCGGACGAGGGCTCTGCATCGGAGGCAGAGATGGGCCAGAGCAGGCTGGCAGTCATCAGCTGCCTTCGGGCTTGGACAGCAGTGAGGCAGGGGAGTTTCTGGAACTGGTTCCCAGCCTGTGCATGCGCAGGGGTACCAGAAGACAAGAACAACTGAGAAAGCAGGGTCAACTCAGGAGTAAGGCCACATCTCGGAGGTGATTGGCCCCTCTCATAGGACATAAAAGAGGAGCGAACGGGATGTGAGCTTTTGCAGGGAGCAATTAGTTCATTTGGTCGGTTCAAGCTTTGAAAAGTTCTGTTTGACTCTGTGTCGTTTGGCCTTGCCCTGCGTCTGGCAATTGATTCTCTGGCCACATTCCAAGTGCGATAAGGAGGGTGTTTATAAACATTCCCCTGAAAGACTGTTTGTGAGGCCTTGCAGGCTGTGAATGAATGTAATTCACAGCCATGAAACTGTAAAAGAGGTTTTGCCGGGACATAAAATGGTGTTTTATGCTTTCAAAGGAAATCTAGGTCAGAACAACAGGGGGAAAGAAAATTGGGGGATGGATGTGCTCCTGACCAGTTCATTGCATCTGTTTTGAGGGCAGCTGAACACTCCTCTTCAACCTTAAATCTGCTTTTCTTTCATTTGCTGTGTCTTTCATAGACCTGATTCATGGTGGAAAGTTAAGGCATGACCTGTCTGTTTTCCAAGTAGCGATGTTACCCTCTTCCATCACTGCCCCATTCCCTTCTTGCACTGATGATGTGACCCAGTTGGGTCATGAAACATCTGCAAGAAAACAACCAAACTCAGGGAGCACCCAGGACCCCTCAATATAAACTCTGAACTACAAATATTCTCCTTTATCAGATAAAAATACCAAACTGAAACTGGGAAACTAAGAGATCTACACTAATCCTGCCTAAAGCATGGCGCTGTGTGCAACCAAGTCAATGACTTTGGGCCAGTGACCAGGCATCAAAGCTGATTTGAAGTACCCCATCTCCCCTCCCCCCAAACCCCACCTCTCAAAAAAAATCCTCCCCCAAAAGATGGAGGGGGATTTGCCCAGATCGGGTTAACAGGACGGAATTTTTTGGCACCTGCCAAAAAAACCGACACAGTCCGAGGCTGCATAAACAGAGGGAGAAAATCAGTGGTGGGATTCAAATTTTTTTTACTACCAGTTCTGTGGACGTGGCTTGGTGGGTGTGGCTGGGGAAGGATACTGTAAAATCTCCAGTTAGAGGTGGAATTTGCTGGTTCTTCGAACTATTCAAAATTTCCACTACCGGTTCTCCAGAACGGCTCAGAACCTGCTGAATACCACTTCTGGAGAGAATCAAGATCACGTGAAGTGTTAATACCAACTTTATAATGCCTTGGTAAGGCCACACTTGGAATACTGCATCCAATTTTGGTTGCCACGATGTAAAAAAGTTCAGTTATGACTCTAAAAAGAATGCAGAGAAGAGCAACAAATATGATTAGGGGACTAGAGGCTAAAACACATGATGAATGGTTGCAGGAATTGGGTATGTCTAGTCTAGTGAAGAGAAGGACTAGGGGTGACATGATAGCAGTCTTCCAATATCTCAAGGGTTGCCACAAAGAAGAGGGAGTCAAGCTATTCTCCAAAGCACCTGAAAGGCAGGACAAGAAGCAATGGGTGGAAACTAATCAAGGAGAGAAGCAACCTAAAACCAAGGAGAAATTTCCTAACAGTTAGAACAATTAATCAGTGGAACAACTTGCCTCCAGAAGTTGTGGATGCTCCAATACTGGAAGTTTTTAAGAAGAGATTGGACAACCATTTGTCTGAAGTGGTGTGGGGTTTCCTGCCTAAGCAGGGGGTTAGACTAGAAGACCTCCAAGGTCCCTTCCAACTCTGTTATTTTATTCTAGATATTGGAGGAATGCAACACTATTCTGTCAGAGGGTGAGACACAACCGTAAAGCCCCTAGTTAGAACATTAAATACAATATTTTGGTACAGAGTGATTTCGTTCCCATAGTTACCAAGGATCTTGTTTTACTAAAGCTTCTTTTCAAAGATCAATTTTAAAAATAGCTTCCCATTTTTGAATAATTGGTGCCTCTTTCCAAAGCTCTGTATAATAAACAAAAATGGAAAGCACCATGAGGATTTGTTCTACCCCCAAATTCTTTATTTTTGATTTCTACAGCTGCTCATCTCAACATGTGACTGTGGGCAGCCTACATCAAAAACCATAAACATAATGATGGTCTATTGATAGGATTGTTACGGAGTTTTTCCTCTGTGTTTTCTTGATAGAGGCATTTCATTATTATTTGTGTTTGTGCATTAATAAAGTAACAGAATAACAGATTGTTGCTAACTACCCAGAGTTAGGTCTTTAAGATAAGTTGCCACACTAATTCTTTAAATAGATAAATGGACTGGAAGTTTTTTAGGGGGTTGGACTAGACCTCCAAGGTCCCTCCCAACTCTGTTATTCTATTCTAAATATTGTGTCCCATGGGGAATAGGGGTTAAGACACTAAGCCCATCCAACAAATTCCTGCTTTAGCTTGAACAGCTTCCCTGAAATGGTGGAAACCTGATATACAGTATATATTTTGAACAAAATGGGTCTGGAATAGAATGGAATGGAAAGGAATAGGAATAGGAATAGGAATAGAACAGAAAATAATAGAATAGAATAGAACATGGAATACAGGTGAAACTCAAAAAATTACAATGTCGTGCATAAGTTCATTTATTTCAGTAATGCAACTTAAAAGGTGAACCTAATATATGAGATAGACTCATTACATGCAAAGCAAGATAGTTCAAGCCATGATTTGTCATAATTGAGATGATTGTGGCTTACAGCTCATGAAAACCCCAAATCCACAATCTCAAAAAATTAGAATATTGTGAAAAGGTTCAATATTCTAGGCTTAAAGTGTCCCACTCTAATCAGCTAATTAAGCCATAACGCCTGCAAAGGGTTCCTGAGCCTTTAAATGGTCTCTCAGTCTGGTTCAGTAGGAATCACAATCATGGAAAAGACTGCTGACCTGACAGTTGTGCAGAAAACCATCATTGACACCCTCCATAAAAAGCGAAAGCCTCAAAAGGTAATTGCAAAAGAAGTTGGATGTTCCCAAAGTGCACATTAATAGAAAGTTATGTGGAAGGGAAAAGTGTGGAAGAAAAAGGTGCACAAGCAGCAGGGATGACTGCAGCCTGGAGAGGATTGTCAGGAAAAGGCCATTCAAAAGTGTTGGGGACTTTCACAAGGAGTGGACTGAGGCTGGAGTCAGTGCATCAAGAGCCACCACACACAGACGGATCCTAGACATGGGCTTCAAATGTCGTATTCCTCTTGTCAAGCCGCTCCTGAACAACAAACAACATCAGAAGCGTCTTACCTGGGCTAAAGAAAAACAGAACTGGTCTGTTGCTCAGTGGTCCAAAGTCCTCCTTTCTTATGAGAGCAACTTTTGCATCTCATTTGGAAATCAAGGACCCAGAGTCTGGAGGAAGAATGGAGAGGCACACACTGCAAGATGCTTGAAGTCCAGTGTGAAGTTTCCACAGTCTATGTTGATTTGGGGAGCCATGTCATCTGCTGGTGTTGGTCCACTGTGCTTCATTAAGTCCAGGGTCAATGCAGCGACCTACCAGGAGATTTTTGAGCATTTCATGCTTCCTTCCACAGACGACCTTTATGGGGATGCTGCCTTCATTTTCTAGCAGGACTTGGCACCTGCCCACGCTGCCAAAAGCACCAAAACCTGGTTCAATGACCATGGAATTACTGTGCTTGATTGGGCAGCAAACTCACCTGACCTGAACCCCATAGAGAATCTATGGGGCATTGCCAAGAGAAAGATGAGAGACATGAGACCGAACAATGCAGAAGAGCTGAAGGCTGCTATTGAAGCATCCTGGTCTTCCATAATACCTCAGCAATACCACAGGCTGATAGCTTCCATGCCAAGCCACATTGAGGCAGTAATTGCTGCAAAAGGGGCCCAAACCAAGTACTGAATACATATGCATGCTTATACTTTTCAGAGGTCCGATATTGTTCTATGTACAATCCTTGTTTTATTGATTGCATGTAATATTCTAATTTTCTGAGATTGTGGATTTGGGGTTTTCATGAGCTGTAAGCCATAATCATCTCAATTATGGCAAATCACAGCTTGAACTATCTTGCTTTGCATGCAATGAGTCTATCTCATATATTAGGTTCACCTTTTAAGTTGCATTACTGAAATGAATGAACTTTTGCACGATATTCTAATTTTTCGAGTTTTACCTGTAGAAGTACAACTGACAGACCCAATAGGTCCTCTGTATTAAAAATGCAGAGAAATAATTCCTCTCTATTAAAAATAAATAAATGATTAAAAACATAGATTGGCACCCAAAAAACCATCTGAAATGTCTAACTCATGTCAACAACCAATAGGAAAATGAAAAGCAACAAATCAGTTTGGAGGCCATTTGATCAGGGGAGAAGCATGCCAGTAAAAACAGTTGGAGTTTGTTTTGTTTCGAAAAAGGGCCAGATAGAATCATGCAACAGAACCCTTATTTATAGAAAGAAATCCCTTAGAGGACTCTACTATGTAAGCATTTTTTTTCCTTTTAGAAATCTGTCAGAGCAAAGCAAAATATCTTAGCGTAACTGCATCTTGTAAACAACTCTGCAGAAAATGTAAGTTTAGCTCTTAAAAGCCAAGTCAGCCACAATCTATTAACAGGGAATGTAATAAACAAACACAGCAAGGAATTGCTTTCAGGAAGCTACATACACCACCCCCCCCCCCCCCCCCCCCCCCCAAAAAAAAAAGATAGGCAAAATTACAATTCAGGACCAAAACTTGGGAGGAAGAGTCCTGGAAATGAAAAATCTGGGTTGTCCTATTGAATAGTCATTGTTGGAATAAAGAGAGTGCAACTCTTGTGAGAGTCCTGGACCTGGCATTCATGATCTTTTTCCCACCCAGAGGCTCTCCAAATTTAGTGCAGGTGGGACAACCTCAAAACAATTCCATTGTCGGAGAGAGACTGGCTTGGGGCAGGGGGAGGCATCAAGCAGGTAACTAGTCTGGAGTCTTTACGTAGGCACAAAAGGTCACAGTCCGATTCCCTTTGAATGGTGTTGAACCACATCTAGTCTGGTCTGGTCTGGTCTAGGGTCTCCTGCTTGAGCAGGGGGTTGGATTAGAAGACCTCCAAGGTCCCTTCCAACCCTATTATTTTATGTTTTCTGGTCCAGGTGCAAAGTTTGGGAAGATTGCTACAAAAAAGACATAGAAAAATAAAACTTCCTTTTTTGTTTACCACCCTGTTTTGAACTCTTCACAAGTGGGTGTGGTTGTTTGGCCCCAACATCCAATTATTCAATGATGCTCGTCTCTAGAACATGGTACCAGGCTGGATTTTCAGGCTCTTGTTCCTTTCTCTGCCACCTTGCAACCCAAAGAGTAGGCGTTATTGATTGATGGTTGGTGGTCACCTCTGGGAATTGAAGTCCTCTTGACATAATCACAAGGTTATCACACCGATAGATTGACAAGGCTATATCAGATCCATTGACTACATCTGCAATGGGCAAAAATCTCTTTATGGTTTGAGATTTTAGCTCTCGTGTAACACACAAAAAAAGGAACAAGAGCCAGTTTCAGCTCAATCCCAAGGAAATCCACTAGCTTTGGTTTTAATCCCCTCTACTTTTCAACACCAATATTGAACCACAGATGGAGAACCTTTTGAGATTCAGGGGAAAATGTCATCAACGTGACACATAGCATTTCCTTGCTTTGGATATAGATGGGGCAGTAGAATGTTGCCTTGGCTCTTAACACCCTACACACAAACCACAATCTTCAAAATCAAAACAGCAGAGAAAAAAAATTAAGTTTGTTGCAGATATCCCTGCATTATATTGATTAATTTGGACAGTCTCTGGTTATCAGAGACCTCCAAACAACCAAGTACTGCATAGTCAGATATGAAATGCATTGTGTGGCTCGCTCTGGGTCGATTGCCCATATTTTATGCAGAAAAGCATCTCGGTATATTAAAGGATAATTGTCATTGTTGACCTAAGAGTGTTGTTGGGAGGAAATATCTCAAAGTCCTTGTGGGATCGGTGTAATAAAATATGTAATCAGGAGATAATCCAAACTTGAATTCAACAGTGGTTGTAATTAAGTGGAATCAAATCAGCTTTTAAGCTTATTGGTCTCATTTATTTGCATATTTGAAGTGAAGGTTGTTTTGTTTTAGAGTAGAATATGTTCTGCATCAAGTATGACACTAAAAAAGTTGGATTATGGCTTCTCGGTGTCAAATCAAAACTCTACAGGATCAAAGCAATCTTCCCTTTTTAGAACCAGGACAACATATTTGGCAGTTTCTATCAAAAGCTAGAAAATTTAAATGCTTTTCAGTATTTAGCTCAATAGAGGCATTTCTTGTCTTGATTAGAAGGAAATTATTTAAATTATTGCTAGTTCAGAAGCACTTAAGACTCTGAACACATAAAGTAGGAAATCATTTAGCACTTAAGGACTCAACATGCAGGATTTTGGTGTTCTCCTAAAAGACAAAGGAGAAACTCAACTTCCTGCCTAACCATGAAGACTTCCGTGAAAAAAAATGGAATTCATCCCATCGATTTTCCAACAAATGTGTTGGCTCTGCCACTGGTTTATTATTGCTGTGATGTTAGTACAGTTCCCTCTTCTCACCACACATCCTTTTAATGTTTCAGGTGGTGAAGAAAAAACAGCGAACAAGAATCGTGGAGTTTTTCATTGATGTGGCAAGAGAATGCTTCAACATTGGGAATTTCAACTCCATGATGGCCATTATTTGTGAGTAAGGTCTCTGGGGGCATGACTGCATCAGTCAAAAATGAGAGTTGAGGAGATTAAAAACTTGGCCTGAGATTGCAAAGTCAGTGATTTAGCACATTGGTGTAATCTCCTACTAATATTAACTGCTCTGCACCTCTATGATTAACTGATCCTGTGTAATGATCCCCATACATCAGTGGTGGGGTTCAAAATATTTACTACCAGTTCCATGGGTGTGGCATGGCTTGGTGGGCGTGGCAAGGGAAGGATATTGCAAAATCTCCATTCCCTTCCCACCCCACTAACCTGCTTTCCAGCTCCCTTCTCCTGTACAGGGCAACCAAAGAAGACCCAGCCGATCAGCTGGGACTCGGGAGGTGGAGAATAGATGGGGTTGGCGAGGCCAGTCAGAGGTGGGATTCGCCGGTTCTCCAAACTACTTAAAATATCCACCAGTGGATCTCCAGAACTGGTCAGAAGCTGCTGAATGCCACCTCTGCTATACATGCACACCAACTGTTCTCTCTCTCTCTCTCATAGACGTAAAACATGCACATTTGCAAACTGAGAGAGAGAGACACACACAAAATCTGAGCTCTGCATTTTGTGGCAAGTCCCACATATGCAGGTAGAAACTAGTGCTAGGTTGGGAATAGATCTTTTTAATGTTTGCACGTCAACAGGTTGGGAAATGGGAAGCGATATAAATCAATTAGAATGGTAGATCTGGCACTCCTTCCTAGCACTGATGATGTTACCTAGTTGGGTAATGAAACATTTGCAAGGAAACAAGCAAGCTCAAGAGAGCACCAAGGATGCCTCAGATCTAAAGCACTTTCCTTTTAAGTTCTGACACACTTTGGAGGGCAGGATGTGCTCAACGCAGGGATTCAGAGGCAAAGTTATCGTCGCTGTAAAACAGATGATGATGCACGCAAGAAAGAAAGAAAGCCAGGAAGACACAGGAGATTTACCAAAACCTTATAGGAGGATCGGGGGCATCGACTTGAAAGAATACGATTTAATTTAATTGGCATGGCAATGCTTAACACCTCAAGGTGGCTTGGAGGAATTATAGAAGGAAGAAGCGAGGGGGTTCAGAACATTTTGGCCCATTTTGGCTCCTGAACATTTAATGTGCTTGGGACAACCCACATGCCTGCACAAGTTGCCCTTTGACAATGAGTCAAGAGAGTCCCGAGTGAAGTTTTATGAAAGCCCATCGTTGCTAGAAACGCGTTTGAAATGCATGACAAAGTATTTAAAAATCCTTTTATTTCTTTTTTCCTTCTTCTCCCTTTCCCTTTTTCCTGCTCTCTGTTTCTCTCCCTTTCTTCCTTTCTCTCTTTCTTTTTCTCTTTCTTTTCCTTCCTTCTTTTTCTTCTTTCTTTCCTTCCTTTCTTTCTCTCTTCCTCCTCCCTCTCTCTTTTCTTTCCTTTTCCTTTTTCCTTCTCCTTTTCCCCTTCTCTGTTTCCATCTTTCTTCCATTCTCTTTTTTTCTTCCTTCTTTCTTTTTCTTTCTTTCCTGTCTTCCTTCCTTCCTTTTTCTTTCTTTCTCTGTCTCTCCCTCCCGCCCTATCTTTTCTTTCTCTCTTTTTTCCTTTTCTTTCTCTCCCCCTATCTCTTTCCCCCTCTCTCCCTTTATTTCTTTCTCTTTTTTGCAGCTGGCATGAATTTGAGTCCTGTTGCCCGACTAAAGAAAACATGGTCCAAAGTGAAAACAGCCAAATTTGATGTTTTAGAGGTAAATATGTCATAGCTTGCGCTGCATTGGGTCAAACATTTTTCACTCAACAGATTATTTTCATTTCACTTTTTTTAAAAAAAAGCAATTACAAGCCAGAATACAGCAGCATAAGAGTTGGACTTAACTAAAGTTCCCTGCTCAGAGTTAGGGAGAATAACAGAACAAGCATGAAAAAGTAATGAATAAGTTCTTCCTTCCAAATCTTAAAATCAATCAAATTTCAATCAAACTGGATATAAAGAATATCTTCCGTTGTCATCAGGCATTCAAGCAGGTGTGTACCGATTGGCTAAAAGTCTGTCATTCTTAGTGTGTACACACACACACACACACACACACACACACACACACACACACTTTCATCCGTTTGAAGAGGGAAACCTTCCATATCATGCTAGAAGGCTCCTCTTCCACCTGCAACAATTTTCACACACTGGGTGGAGCTGATAGTATTTGAAAGACAATGAGGTGGTCGCTCATAATCCACCTCTATTACTTTTCATTACTTTTCATTTTTTAAAAATCATATCTCATGAAAGCCTGCCATCTAGTGATATTCAGGATTTAACAAAAGGGGCAACTGGACTTTCTGGTTTTTCTTTCTTCCTTTCTTTTTTTGGTGTGTGTGTGTGTGTGTGTGTGTGTGTGTGTGTGTGTGTGTGTATGTGTATGTATGTATATGTATATATGTATATTTGTTTTCTTAAGTTTTCGCGGGTACTTACATGTATGGCATTCAGCTTTGTTCGGGTATTTTCCCACGTCATTGTAGTTGTGCTTTTAAAGTTGTAGCAACGTTTCGGCAGAATCTCATCTGCCATCATCAATCAGGCTTCTGTATTGTGTTTGTCTGTGAGTCAGGCTTTCACAGCCATTTCTGTTTTAAATTTGGTGCTAGCCTACTGCTGTGTTAGAATCCTCCCTTGGGATTTTGTATAAATTACATTAATCATACCCATATCATTATAGTAACATTATAAATATTACGATTAAAGTTGTTAGCATTGTAGTATTTGCAACATCATGTATATAATTCTTCATCATGTAATTATTCAGTATTTTAATACCCATTACTAATAACCATAATAACATTATTTAAATGTACATAATACAATCATCTTTCAACTTCTGATCTATTCATCTACATACTGATTTGAAAATATTATATAAGAATGTACGTAATAGTATTTTCCCGTTTCCCATCTCATCCAAGAAGCTTCTTCAGCTTTATCTCAATCCTTCTGAAGAAGCTTCAAGATGAGAAGCTTCCTGGATGAGAAGCGAAACATCTTCAAGGGAAAACAAAGTCCAGTTGCCTTTGGGGAAAAGTGCCTTGGGGTCAACCATGAGCCGGACAACTGAGAACCTCCACAGACATTAAGCCGCTACTTCTTATCATTCTTTTGAAACAGCACCACATGGATCCCTCAAGCAACTTTTGTAACTATCGGACGGCTCTTCAAGGGGCAGCTCAGAGATCCCAGATGGCGCACAGCAGCCGGGAGAAAATTGTCATCCCTGTTTTCAACCTTTTCATTAAAGACATCTACTTCCTGCATAAGATACACACCAACCACTTGCCGAATGGACAAATCAACTTCAAGGTAAGCAGCCTTTTGCGATGTACGATAAATAGCAATAGCACTTAGACTTATATACTGCTTCACGGTATTTTTCCAGCCCTCTCTAAGTGGTTTACAGAGTCAGCCTCTGGCCCCCAACAATCTGGGTCCTTGTTTTACCCACCTTGGAAAGATGGAAGACTGAGTTCAACCGAAGGAAGGAAGGAAGGAAGGAAGGAAGGAAGGAAGGAAGGAAGGAAGGAAGGAAGGAAGGAAGGAAGAAAGAAAGAAAGAAAGAAAGAAAGAAAGAAAGAAAGAAAGAAAGAAAGAAAGAAAGAAAGAAAGAAAGCAATGGCACTTAGATGGAAGGCTGAGTCAACCTTGAGCCTGGTGAGATTCGAACTGCCAAATTGCAGGCAGCCAAAGTAGCCTGCAGTACTGCACTCTAACCATTGTGCCACCAGGGCTCATGCAATAAATAGGATGAATAAATAGCATGAATTTTTGTTTCCATGACTATCCTCAAGGATATGTTTGTCTCAGTGAAGCTGCATGCGGTGATTACAGCATTTAGAAACTATATTTCAATGCACGCATATCAAAATTAAAAATAAAAACATATATTTCAGATTTATTTATACAGAAAAAGAACTGGTTGTAAGATGGTAGATACTCCATTTGGTAAAAATCTGAATAGGGTAGGATAGGATAGGATAGGATAGGATAGGATAGGATAGAAGTCAGAATAGAATAGAATAGAATAGAATAGAATAGAATAGAATAGAATAGAATAGAATAGAATAGAATAGAAAATGAATGGAATGTAATATTAGAATAGAAAATGAATGAAATGGAAATGGAATAGAATAGAATATGAATGGAACAGAACAGAACAGAACAGAACAAATAGCTTTACTGTCACTTTGAATGACAAGCTAATGTGATCCTAACAGGAATATGACTTCTTTACCAGGGGTGGGATTCTACCAGTTAGCACCTATTCGCTAGAACTGGTTGTTAACATTCTAAGCAGTTTGGAGAACTGGTTGTTAAAAGAAATTACTGGCCTAATCCTGTAAGGAAGGCAGGAAGGAAACATTCTGGTGTTGCTTACAGAAACTGCCTCTCCATTAACCCTTATTACATTCTTGGCAGGACTAGACTTCCTGTCTCAGGAACTTCTCTGGAGTTTTTTTCCCTTCCTTTGCTGGTACTTTGCTTGTGTGGAGTGACCATTCAAAGTTACAATGGCACTGAAAAAAGTGACTTATGACCATTTTTCACACTTACGACTGTTGCAGCATCCTACAGTCATAAAAGGCCAGGGGAAGAGATGCATGCCTCAATGTGAGTGATATTTAGTTGGCCACGCCCAGCCAATAACATGACCACCAAGCCATGTCCACCCAGTCACATGACTACCAAACCATGCCTACCAACTAAGTCACACCCACAGAACCGGTTAAAAATTTTGAATCCCACCCCTGTTCTTTACCAACAACCAAGGAAGGTGTAGAGATGCCCTGAGGGCTGTTTGTCCTCCTCCCCATTGACCAAAGCAAGGCCAGACAAGAAGCAAGGGGTGCAAACTAACCAAGGAGAGAACCAGCCTAGAAATAAGGAGAAATTTCCTGACAGGGATAATAAGCAGCCATCGCTTAGGGATGTTTTAATGCGGAGGGAGGGATTCTTTTGGTACCATGATGTTAACAATGCTCATTTCCATCTCTTTTCTGTCGGTGGGGATCTCCTGCAGAAATTCTGGGAAATTTCAAGGCAAATCCATGACTTTGTCACATGGAAACAGGTGGAGTGTCCTTTCGAAAAGGACAGGAAGATTCAGAGCTACCTGCTCACCGCACCTATTTACAGTGAAGAAGGTGAGATTTTGGGGTGGTTATTCTTAAAAAGAAAAAAGAAGAACAGTTTCCCACAACTGCCTTTGAACCTCTCCTGCTTACATTTTCTGCAAGTACAGAAAAGCTGTAGAATTAAGCAGGAAAGGCCAATCCCTTTCCAGACCAATTGAAGCCCTAATCGCAAAAAATGCATGGGATTCTTTCTCTTGAATCGCCTTTTCTGCTGTTGGGAGTTTCAGTTGGAAGAATGTATGCAATGGGTCTGTGGGCCATAATGCCATTGTAGTGAAGTAGGATTGGGATCAATGAGGAAGAGAAGAGAACCAACCACATTTGATAGAATGTGTGTGTGTGTATGTTTCTCTCCATCTGTCTGTCTGTCTGTCTGTCCGTCTGCCTGCCTGCCTACCTCTCTATCGTCATCTATCTACATCCCCCTCTATCTATCTATCTATCTATCTATCTATCTATCTATCTATCTATC